TCTCTATAAAATTGTTTTTCTCCCTAATATTTAACCATTGACTTTACAGTATAATTGAGAGTAGGGATGCACGATATTGGATTTTTTTCAATATCCGATATGCTGATCATTTTCAACTCATTTTGGCCGATAGCCTATGCCGATACCGATATATAATTATTTAAAATTTTGGTTCGTTTTTAACAAGAACTTATTTGTTAGAATTAAATAAACAATAATAAAAGTTATTTTATAATGACAGTACATTGAAGACTTGAAAATAACTATAAATAAACTATATATTAATCACTGCATTTTTTATCAGAAATATGCAGTGGTAACCTTGACATTTTATTTTATGATTTAACATTTGTAAATGGTCTAAAGCAAAAGAGTTGTACAAATTCTGAAAATCTTTTAGAGCATCATAATTTGTTTAAAAAATATAACATTAAACATTAATGAATAAATCAGTATATATAAAATGATTTAATTTAAGTGTCATGTTTGTGATTTTTTGATGTAAACTATAGCTTCTGACCTTTAAATCAAAACATACTCATGGTTTTATGGCATCAATTACTGCTTTATTTAATCAGAAACACAGTCTAAATATTATTTGTGTATCAGGCAAAACTTTGCTTCAAGAATGAAGCAAATCATTGAAAACTGAATAAATCTTTTGTATTCTATCTGGGTTTTTTTTTATTAATACAATTAACAAAAGCAAAAAAGGCCTCTAACACTAGCTTGCTCTATTCTTTTTCTATTTTATGTTTTCTTTTTACTTATTATATGATTTTAAAAAAATTATATGATTTTTATTGGATAAAAGTGTCTGCTAAATGTCTAAATGTAAATGTAACCACAATGCTGACGTGATCTAATCGCTAGCACACCCTGAGCACATGTGAGTTAATGTATTCCTCTTATCGGCAAGACATATCGGCATAATTTTTCATATCGGGCCGATGCCGATATTTACATTTAAAGTCATTTTCAGCCGATTCCGAAATTGGTCCGATAATATCGTGCATCCTTAATTGAGAGCTAACAATTTTAACATTTATTAGACTTTAAAAAATAACTTCTAATTTAAACGAACTTAAAACAATCTTCACATAAACCCATTATAATAAATGTCATATTTATACCTGTGCATGCCCTTCAGCAAGTATAGGAAATATACAGAAATTGAATAAAGTTATAAAACACTAAATACTAAATTAAATATAAATTAATCCATAAGTCTAAGTTATTGATTTCCTTTTTTTTCTTTTGTTCTTTGATTAACAGACATCACCGTAGCTGGGTTATTAGGTTACTTTGCCTGCTATTGCTTTAAAGGATTAGTTCACCCAAAAATGTAGTCATTAATTACTCACCCTCATTTTGTTCCAAACCCGTAAGACCTTCGTTCATCTTCGGAACACAAATTAAAATATTTTTTATTAAATGCGAGAGCTCTCTGGCCCTCCATAGACGCCAACCCAACTGCAATGTTCCCAGCTCCAGAAACAAGGACATTGGTAAAATAGTCCATGTGACATCAGAGGTTCAACCGTAATTTTACGAAGCTACAAGAATACTTTTTGTGTGCAAAGAAAACAAAAATAACCACTTTATTCGACAATTCTTCTCCTCCTCATTCCGTCTGCCATTGTGGAAAGAGTATCACGACGCATGCACTTGCTTCCGCTTCATGTAAGTGCATAGACTATTTTACCAATGTCCTTGCTATGTTTCTGGACCTATGGAGGGTCAGAAAGTTCTCGGATTTAATCAAAAATATCTTAATTTGTGTTCCGAAGATGAACGAAGGTCTTACGGATTTGGAATGACATGAGAGTGAGTAATTGATGACAGAATTTTCATTTTTGGGTGAACTAACACTTTAAGAGCTGCCGCTGCTGAACGTGATGTGGATCTCACATGCATCGTATTTTCTCTCAACTCTCTTTACCTTTTCGGACCACCTTTGTCTCTACTAATGAACTGAGGAGTTGAATCAGGTGTGTAAGATGAAGGAGTCAGTGCTGGGCTGCTCCAGCACAGTTCTGAAAACCATTTCAGAGACATGTTCTTAAGTGTTACTCATATATAACATATTACATGTATACACAGTTTTAAGGCAGCTTTAATCGCCTTTTTGGTAACTTTATGACTTAACTGACCATGACATTGCATGCACGTAGTTTATTTCTCGCTTTGATATGAAATGATATAGGCTACAGTGTGCGCCGGCGCCTTTGTGCGTGCAATTGAAGATCACACGCTGCGAGACTAGTACCCTTTCCACACTCGTTTGACTCACGCCTGTCGCTGAAGGGAAGTTGGAGAGCGTCTGAAACGTCTCCCTTTTGATGTGGTCATAAAGATGTTTTGCAACTAAATAAATGCACTTCTTGTCAAGAAAAAAAAAAGAGACAGAGGCAACAGTTGTGAGTGAAGTGGTCAACCCTAGCCCTGCCCCTGCGTTAACTGCGTTAAATATTTTTAACTCGTTAAACTAAAAAAATAAAATAAAAAGGGGTTATTTTAGGTTATTTATTTATTGTTTGTTTTTTTACTGAAAGGTTCATTGTGAACCCAAAATAGTTCTTCTATGACAGCGTATCCAATTCTTCTCCTGGAGGGCCAACGTCCTGCAGATTAACAGAGTTTTGATTACCTTAATCCGGCTAAAGTCATAATCGAAGTAAACACTAATCTAATTAAGACATGTGGAGTATTCCTATTTTAGTCACATTACTGAAGTGCAGTAAAGACATGTAAACACCTTAATCACATTATTACCGTCGTGTAGGACTTTTCGCTGTATTTTGCGACAGGATACACACGGCAGTGGTCAACCGTTTGACGGCAAACAAAAGAATGGCTTCAACAATGCCATTGTCTGTTTGCACGTATAGCATGACATATAATTAACTGCACTTGAAGCTTTCAGTAAATTAAAAATGAAACACCCAAAACTGTATATGGCATCATAACGAAGACGAACTATATGTTTATACGTGAAATTCCAGAGGGGATGTCGGATAGCGTCGCGTGGTGACGTAATGTTGTGTGCCATTAATCAAACTATGTACTATAACATGTAAAACGGTAAAACATGAAAGGAATATTCTAAAATCAACTCATGTAAACACCTTAATCATAATATTGTCTTATTTAGAATAAGGTAAATAATTAGATTACTGATGTCCATGTAAACGTAGTCAGGGGCTCTCCAGGAACAGGTTTGGATACCCCATGTTCTGTGAAAACCCCCTTTTGGAAACTTTATTTTAGAGAGTGTAGTTTGACATCATTTTTTATTGCACAATCCAGACACTTGAATTGCCTGTTGTTTAAAAGCAGAAAGGCTGCTCATCTACACTGCACCATGGATATACTGTATGCCTGGTTACATTCAATTCCAAATAAGTAAATAACTGCTGCTATCATTACTAGAAAATGTATTCAAATGTCTCTTTTTCAACATACATTCCATTCAACAGCGCTGAGTTTTGCAAATTCAGCTCATTATAAATTATAAATATATTTAAATAAGGCTATTTACATAAAAAGGAGATGTTTTTATGCTGGTGAATGACTCAATTTATAATATTCATGATTCAGCATTTTATCTGTGCAGTTAGTGCCATGTTAAACTAGATGCAGGTTCTGGGTCTGAAATATTATGCACAAAAGCAGATGAAGCATATTTATCCATTTATATTTATTCATTCATACATATCCATGAGCTACACAAAAGTTTTGGGTCTGATAAGAATTTTCCAAGGCTGCATTTATTTGATCGAAAATACAGTAAAAACGAATATTGTAAAATTTTATTACAATTTAAAATAACATTTCTATTTTAACATTTTCATCAGTGACACATGATTCTACAGATACCATAATATGCTAATTTTATGCTCAGAAAAAAGTTTTTTTTTGATAAACTTATTATCAAAGTGGAATGCTGCTTAATGTTTTGTGGAAATCGTAATAATTGTTTTTCAAGATTATTTGATGAATAAAAAGTTCAAAATAGGCGCATCTTTTGTAACATATATTACTTCTTTCCTTACACTTTTGATCAGTTGAATGGGTTCTTGCTGCATACACTGAAACAAATTATTCATTTAATTTACAAAATTGTTTTAAGGTAAGTGGTTGCAATCAATTTATTTTAGCTACATTTAAATAAACAAATTTAGTTGACTAACTTTAAAAAATTTTTTTAATTAAATGTAGCTAAAATAAATTCTTTACAACCACTTACCTTAAAGTGGTCAGTGTACAGTAGAAACATCAATTTCTTTCAAAAAAACCTTTGAATGGTACACATTACATGGTAGATCAACACATTTTTACACTTAATTAGGGTTAATCATGCTTTATTTAGCCCAGTAAAATGACAAATGTGGTAAATCCCAGAACTGAACATTAATGCTCATTGCTCACCTAAAACTGCAACTGTTTCGCAACCAAGTTAGTGCTTATTCATGTTTGTATTCTGAGTGTAGTTTTTTTTTTTCCTGCAAAAATGCTTTGATCAGTTTTGACATTGCCATCTTTCCACTACAAGATTCACAGTGTGAGAGGAAAGAAAACACATGGGAATAGACGCCTTCTGCTGCCAAGCTAATGGTGAGTAAAGTATCTCATTCATATTTCAAACGTGTTTGTGTGTTAAGTCTTTCACTTGTTGTTTTGTTTTCTAACTGCTGATCCGCCTGTTGCCTTTGGCTATATTCATTCTCTATGACACAATCTATGACACAATTTAAAAAATATATATTCTCTGCATCCCAGTGGGCTCTTCTAACACTTACTAGCGTAATAACCTGAACACTTTGCAGTGCCTTCTTTAGTTTTAAGGTATAAAAGGAATAAATCAAAGAATAAACTAATAGTCCTGATATGTGAAAATCAGTACTTGCACATCTTGAAATATAGAATAAATTAAGCCATTTTGGATACAATCCAGCACTACAACATAGACTTTTCTCAGAGTTGGAGACAGTGCTTACCTGACTCACAGGCAAATGTCTTTGACGTCTCATCGCAGAAAATAATTGCCACTGCGTGTTTCTTGGTCTCTCGTGGCATTCGAGTAATGTTCTTAATGTTGTGGAGCTCAGTTATCTGCGGAAGAAGACGACAAAACTCATTACCAAAATTAACAAACTCAAGAGGAGGAGGAAACGAAGAAAGGAGGATGACACTAAGGTAATGTAGTTACTGTTATCTGAAAATGAAATGATTTGAAATTACTGCAGTGCCTGGCTTTAGGGAGAAATGGAGATGAGAGTTAACGCTGACTGTCTCTATTGTCACACTAATGACAAACACCAAAGAACAGTTGGGCACTGGAAACTTAAAATAAATCTTAATACTCATATTTTGTGTACAGTTTGGTATGTTTTTACACTGTTAATTATACATTTTTCTTTACCTAGTACTTTGTTATCCTTAAATGATTTAGTAATGGTTCTCAACCAGGGGTCCGGAAACGTCCAAGGGTGTCCCAAAATTATGTAAAATAGGACAAAACAAAGAGTCAAATACATCAAAACAACAAAAAATTAAGATGTTTCATATTTTAATTCACCCCCTCAACAACTGTTTTTTTTTTCTCTATGAAAAACCAGGAAGATTTTTTTTTAAAGTGTGATTTCTAGACTTCTAGAAAGGTCATGTAAATTAATAACAATCTTCTAACTTCATGGGAATTGTTATAATTAAAATAAATGTTTCTAAGTATGCCAAACTCTAAATTAATTTATCAGGTAGAAATTGTATAAGTAAAAAATATTTTGGTCACACTTTAGTTTGGGGAGCAATTCTCACTATTAACTACAACTTCTGCCTCAATAAACTCCTAATTTGCTGCTTAATAATAGTTAAAAGTAGTTGTTAAAGGGATAGTTCACCCAAAAATGAAAATTCTGTCATTAATCACTCACACTCATGTCGTTCCAAACCCGTAAGACATCTTCGTTCATCTTCGGAGCTCAAATTAAGATATTTTGATGAAATCCGAGAGCTTTCTGACCCTGACAAAAGGTATTCTTGTAGCTTCATAACATTATGTTTGAACCACTGATGAGCTCTCAGATTTAATCAAAAATATGTTAATTTGTGTTCCGAAGATGAATGAAGGTCTTGCGGGTTTGGATAATAATAGTAATTAATGACATAATTTTCATTTTTGGGTGAACTATCCCTTTAAGTTTAGGTATTGGGTAGGGTTCAGGGATCTAAAATATGGTCATGCAGAATAAGACATTAATATGTGCTTTTTAAGTAATAAACAAGCATAGGTAATAGCGAGAATTGGTCATTAATCCTTATCCAATCAATCACAAAAAACTGTAAAAATCATGAGGCATTGTTGATGGAAAAAAATAAAAAATCATTGTTGAAAACAGTAGGAGTTGTAGTTAAAAAGGGCTGAGGACCACTGATTTACAGAGAAAAAAGTCATATAAAAATTTGTTTTTTTTAACCAGTTTTACTTACAAATCATTTCATCCAGTACGGGATAATGGGATAATTATGGATATGACTAAGCTATCACCATACTGCAATTAGAATGAATGAACGTTGATATTGTTTTGTGATTACATGCGCTTTAATAAATTAAGCTAGAAGGGACGTGAATTTAAATAAGATATTTTCATCCATGATTCAAAATGTTTCCACAGCCGTGACAAACAACATTACCTCAGAGAAAAGCAACGTGCTTACTGACAGTACAAAAATAAGCATGGTTTATATTTAAAGGACTCTTCAAGAACATTTCACTTAATCTTCTAGAGTCACACAATGTTGCACAAAGTTTACCAACACTTCTTCGAGCTCTGTTAAAATAGTTCAAATGCAGTCGAGACAAGAAATAGTACACTTCACTTCTCAGTCTTGCCGATGGCATTTCTTGGTTTGAGATGCATGATTTACCAGTGGCAACAGGGAGGAGGTGTTTGCCTTTGAATGTGTTTGTGTTGTGCTGAGGGTGCGTTCAAGGATTATGAATCTGATGAAGGCTTTGCTCAAGGCTTTGAAAGAACTTCTCCAGCTCGGGTGTGTCATAGTGAATGGATGACGCATTGATGGGTGTGAGGAAGCATCTTCTGAAAACTTCTCAGCTGTCAGCAATGTGCTAGTCTCACATAGCCAGACCTTTGACTAGACATCAAACAGTCTGGCACATACAGCAGTTTATTCTGGCCAGGAAGTCAGTCCATGGGCATGACGTCTGAAGCTGAAACTAGCAATGTACAGTCTAAAAGAACATTTAAGAAGCTGTTTTTTTTATATTGTTAAGTAAAACTATTAAAAAATATATTTTTTTAGTAATTGAAACAAAGTTTAAATAAAATAATATACAAATATTGGATGAAAAGCTTAAACAAATTAACTTAAACTTATGAATTTCAGGCAACATTTCATTTTTTTGAAGTGCTTAAATTGCAAAAACTAAAACTGAAATAAAAATAAAGCTAAATGCAAAATTGAAAAAAAAAAAACTACTAAAAATGACAAAAGCACATAAATTACTAAAACTGAATGTAAAATGAAAACTGAAAATACACTGCTCAAAAAAATTAAAGGAACACTTTTTAATCAGAGTATAGCATCAAACACCTGGGATATTGATCTGGTCAGTTAAGTAGCAGAGGGGGTTGTTAATCAGTTTCAGCTGCTTTGGTGTTAATGAAATTAACAACAGGTGCACTAGACGGGCAACAATGAGACTTGTGCTGAGGGTGCGTTCAAGGATTATGAATCTGATGAAGGCTTTGCTCAAGGCTTTGAAAGAACTTCTCCAGCTCGGGTGTGTCATAGTGAATGGATGACGCATTGATGGGTGTGAGGAAGCATCTTCTGAAAACTTCTCAGCTGTCAGCAATGTGCTAGTCTCACATAGCCAGACCTTTGACTAGACATCAAACAGTCTGGCACATACAGCAGTTTATTCTGGCCAGGAAGTCAGTCCATGGGCATGACGTCTGAAGCTGAAACTAGCAATGTACAGTCTAAAAGAACATTTAAGAAGCTGTTTTTTTTATATTGTTAAGTAAAACTATTAAAAAATATATTTTTTTAGTAATTGAAACAAAGTTTAAATAAAATAATATACAAATATTGGATGAAAAGCTTAAACAAATTAACTTAAACTTATGAATTTCAGGCAACATTTCATTTTTTTGAAGTGCTTAAATTGCAAAAACTAAAACTGAAATAAAAATAAAGCTAAATGCAAAATTGAAAAAAAAAAAACTACTAAAAATGACAAAAGCACATAAATTACTAAAACTGAATGTAAAATGAAAACTGAAAATACACTGCTCAAAAAAATTAAAGGAACACTTTTTAATCAGAGTATAGCATCAAACACCTGGGATATTGATCTGGTCAGTTAAGTAGCAGAGGGGGTTGTTAATCAGTTTCAGCTGCTTTGGTGTTAATGAAATTAACAACAGGTGCACTAGACGGGCAACAATGAGACAACCCCCAAAACAGGAATGGTTTTACAGGTGGAGGCCACTGACATGTTTTCCCTACTCATCTTTTCTGACCATTTTTCAATAGTTTTGCATTTGGCTCGGGTCAGTGTCACTACAGGTAGCATGAGGCAATACCTGAACCCTACAGAAGTTGCACAGGCAGTCCAACTCCTCCAGGATGGCACATCAATCCGTGCCATTGCCAGAAGGTTTGCTGTGTCTCCCAGCACAGTCTCAAGAGCATGGAGGAGATTCCAGGAGACAGGCAGTTACTCATGTTCAAATTGCATGATGGATCGGCGACAGGAGGTTACACACTGCATGACTTTACAATAGGAAGAATCGCCGACAACTCTGTCTAGTCCGCAAACTACGTTTTACAACAAAACACACGCCAGAAGTGATAAGGAAATAATGCGAGAACCCGTGTGCGTCAGACCGGAGTTCTCGAATAAGACTGGAATTATTTAAAAAAAAATATATATATATATATATATATATATATATATATATATATATATATATATATATATATATATATATATATATATATATAGCCCGCAAATTGTCTGTGAGCTGATTTCCAGCTACAAGGAGAAAAAGAAAAACAGATTATGCAGGAGGGAGATGCAGGGAACAGGGATTGGGTGTTCTGCAAAGAGAGATGGAGGTAAATAATTTTGCAGTAACTGTTATGCTGATGTTGTGGCTGGGCAAGCAAAAGTTTGTGCTTGGTTCTGTATGATATAATTGTTCATATATCTATTAAAATACTGATAATCTGGTCTATAACTCCTCCCCGAACTTCCCTCTGCCCTGTATCTTGGTCTCTCATTGGCTGTAGGTCATCGCTGATGTAGTTTTAAGTCAGAAATCATTGCTCACAGCGTGATTGTGAATCGCCGACAGCTCCAAATATTTTTGTGGGCGTCTGCGACGTGTCGGTGATTCCCTCAGATCCGTCTTTGATGACTCACACTGCGTAATTGTCACTCGCGTGAATGAGCACAGATTTGCCTCCGATTTCAGGCATTTCTCGGCGATTTCGCAAAACCGGTCGACGAGTGAAAAATCGGGCTAAAATCGTGCAGTGTGAACTCGGCATTAGAAGCATGCATACAAGCATGTGGGGGCCATACAAACTACCGAGTACCATTTTGATTTGCTGCAATGAAATTTCAGCAAAATGGACTGGCCTGCTGCATCATTTTTTCACTTTGATTTCAGTCTTTGAATTCAGCCCTCTGTAGGTTGATCATTTTCATTTACATCAAACAATGTGGCATCCTTTCATTCCTAACACATTACCCATTACCCAGTCCATATCAGTATAGATATCCAGCATGATATTTTTCCCCATTGAGATCTGATGTTTTCAAAGTGTTCCTTTAATTTAATTTTAATACAATTTTGAGCAGTGTATTAAAAAACTGTTGACAATTTTAATAAATACTGTAATAGTAAATAATACTAAAATAACACTTAAGTAAAGTGATACTATCAAGCTTACCCAAATCCTCAAGTTTTCCATGATTTCTTATTGAGATTGAACATTAAATCGAAGATGAATCTCACACCTAAACACTACTTTTTGTTAAAAACTGTTTTGTCTTCAAGTGTTGTACACTAGCTGCT